AATTCCACTGTCGAACAGCTCTTACTGTCAGGAAGTTCTTCCTAATGTTTAGGTGGAATCTTCTTTCTTGTAGTTTGGATCCATTGCTCCGTGTCCGCTTCTCTGGAGCAGCAGAAAACAACCTTTCTCCCTCCTCTATGTGACATCCTTTTATATATTTGAACATGGCTATCATATCACCCCTTAACCTCCTCTTCTCCAGGCTAAACATGCCCAGCTCCCTTAGCCGTTCCTCATAAGGCATCGTTTCCAGGCCTTTGACCATTTTGGTTGCCCTCCTCTGGACACGTTCCAGTTTGTCAGTGTCCTTCTTGAACTGTGGTGCCCAGAACTGGACACAGTACTCCAGGTGAGGTCTGACCAGAGCAGAATACAGTGGCACTATTACTTCCCTTGATCTAGATGCTATACTCCTATTGATGCAGCCCAGAATTGCATTGGCTTTTTTAGCTGCCGCGTCACACTGTTGGCTCATGTCAAGTTTGTGGTCAACCAAGACTCCTAGATCCTTTTCACATGTACTGCTCTCAAGCCAGGTGTCACCCATCTTGTATTTGTGCCTCTCATTTTTTTGCCCAAGTGCAATACTTTACATTTCTCCCTGTTAAAATTCATCTTGTTTGTTTTGGCCCAGTTCTCTAATCTGTCAAGGTCGTTTTGAAGTGTGATCCTGTCCTCTGGGGTGTTAGCCACCCCTCCCAGTTTGGTGTCATCTGCAAATTTGATCAGGATGCCCTTGAGTCCATCATCCAAGTCGTTGATAAAGATGTTGAATAAGACAGGGCCCAAGACAGAACCCTGTGGCACCCCACTAGTCACTCTTCTCCAGGATGAAGAGGAACCATTGATGAGCACCTTTGGGTTCAGTCAGTCAGCCAGTTACAAATCCACTGAGTGGTAGCATAGTCAAGACCACATTTTACCAGCTTCTTTACAAGAATATCATGGGGCACCTTGTCAAATGCCTTGCTGAAATCAAGGTAGACTACATCCACTGCGTTCCCTTCATCTACCAGGCTTGTAATTCTGTCAAAAAACGAGATCAGGTTTGTCTGACATGACTTATTTTTCAGAAATCCATGCTGACTATTGGTGATCACAGCATTCCTTTCTAGGTGCTCACAGACTGTTTGCTTAATGATCTGCTCCAGAATCTTCCCTGGTATTGATGTCAGACTGACTGGGCGGTAATTATTTGGGTCCTCTCTTTTCCCCTTTTTGAAAATAGGGACAACATTTGCCCTCCTCCAGTCTGCCGGGACTTCGCCTGTTCTCCAGGAATTCTCAAAGATGACTGCCAGTGGTTCTGAGATCACATCTGCCAGTTCTTGGCAGATATGATCTCAGAACCACTGGCAGTCATCTTTGAGAATCCACCACTTCCCGAGCCTCTGAGGGTGAAGAAACTACCAAGAGGGTCTGTAGGGAAAGAGGAAGCCTTTCTGATATTTGGGACTTGAGTTGTTCAGGGCTTTAAACATGAGCATGTTAACTTGGGCCTGGAAATGAACTGGCAAACAATGAACCTGTTTTAAAACAGGGGTTATATGAAATCTGAACGGAACCTCAGCCAGCAATCCAGAAGTTACTGGAGTATGGAGTACAGTGGCCCAATGATCTCTGTCCAAAAAAGGGTCATAGCTACCTTACATGGACTCATTAGGATACGGGTGCCGCTGTGGTCTAAACCACTGAGCCTCTTGGGCTTGCTGATCAGAAGGTTGGCAGTCTGAATCCTGGCAACGGGGTGAGCTCCTGTTGCTCTGTCCCAGCTCCTGCCAACCTAGCAGTTCAAAATCATGCCAGTGCAAGTAGATAAATAGGTGCTGCTGCGGTGGGAAGGTAAACAACATTTCTGTGCGCTCTGGTTTCCGTCACAGTGTTCCATTGCAGCAGAAACGGTTTAGTCATGCTGGCCACATGACCCAGAAAGCGGACAAATGCTGGCTCCCTCAGCCTGAAAGAGAGATGAGCGCCACAACCTCATGGTTGCCTTTGACTAGACTTAACTGTCCAGGGGTCCTTTACCTTTTACCTTACATGGACTCATGAACAAATGTTTGTCTTCTTTGTTGCATGTTCCTGCAGCAGGCACAGGAGTCAATAGGTAAAGGTACCCCTGCCGGTACGGGCCAGTCTTGACAGACTCTAGGGTTGTGCGCTCATCTCACTCTAGAGGCCAGGAGCCAGCGCTGTCCGCAGACACTTCCGGGTCACGTGGCCAGCATGACAAGCTGCATCTGGCGAGCCAGCGCAGCACACGAAACACCGTTTACCTTCCCACTAGTAAGCGGTCCCTATTTATCTACTTGCACCCGGGGGTGCTTTCGAACTGCTAGGTTGGCAGGTGCTGGGACCGAGCGACGGAAGCGCACCCCGCCGACAGGAGTCAATAACTGCCCAGTAATTCCAGAGTCAGCCTCCAAAATTACAGAGTAACTATATAGGGAATTGCCATCCGTCGGAAAGTATGAGTGATTTTAGTATGTGGTGGCATCTAAGTTTGTTTGTTTTAATCAGGGGTGTTGGCCTGAAGGCAAGCATACAGGCAAGCAGAGATAGGTAGCCCAAGAGGAAACACAGTGACAAGAAAATGTAAACGTGCCCTGTCAAGCTTAGCTCTTGGTTCCATCACATAGTCTGACTTGCCTGTAGCTCAGCAGACTCCTTTTCTCATCACCTGCTACCTCATCCTGTTGTGTCTGGGAATTCCAGATAATGAACCTGAGATTCCCTGAATGCACATCACTAAGGGCCCTGTGTTTGTGCCCCATATTGGAAAACAGATTCCTGCATTGCAAGGGATTGGATTCAATGGTCCTCCTGTTCCTTGCCAACTCTTCAGTTTCTATGATTCTGTGAATTCCCTACATGGCTGCTGCCATCATTGTGTGTCTAACTGCATGGACCCAAACCAGAAAGGTCCAGAGGTCAGTTGTTGTTGTTTTGCAAAGTTGCTCTTTGGAACCATGAAGAACAGGGGACTTAAAGGTTGTGGACATGTGTGCATGTCAGCGGCGTAGCGTGGGTTGTCAGCACCCGGGGCAAGGCAAGTAATTTGCGCCCCCTAACCCGGGGCAAGGCAAGTAATTTGCACCCCCTAACCCGGGGCAAGGCAAGTAATTTGCGCCCCCTAACCCCTAACCTGCCGCCGCTGCCAGCTTCTTCTTGCTGCTGCCTGGTCTGGTCTGGTGTGGTTCTCTCCCGCGCTCAGCGCTGCACTGGGCGGCCGCTGCACTGTCCCTCCCCAGATAGTCCCTCGCTCTCTCTCCGCACCGCACGCCTGGCACCCACCCCCTCCACAGTGGGCGGCGACCCAGCGGCTCGGATCGGATTCGCACAGCCAGCACTGCAGTGAGAGAGAGTGAGTGAGCCAGGTAGGGGCAGAGAGCTGCGAGTGCGAGCGCGCCCCCCCAGATGTTGCGCCCGGTGCGGCCAGCCTCCCCTGCACCCCCCACGCTATGCCACTGGTGCATGTCAACCTATGAATCCTGGGGTCCAAATAGGTTTCTTTTGATCCAGTGTCCTACCTTTTCTATGACATTTCCTTCTTTATCCCATCCCCAACACCATAGGAGCATTGTCTCTATCTAAACAATGCAACACTTTATATTATAAATTAAACTGGCCATAAAACATACCTCTTAAATAAATAGACTTAAGCTTTTAGATAATTTATAATGACTACCCAAGCAACTTTTTATACACAGCAATAACTGCACACAGATACCTTCAGTTTTCCTACCCAATATGCTTCAAATTATAATGTGTGTTAAGCCAACAATAAAACAGACCTCTCAAATAAATATAATTATGTTTTTAAATAGTTAAAAATGATTACCAAAAGAGATTTTTATAAACAGCAATAAATGTGCACAGATCTCCTCATTTTTCCTACCTATAAATCAGTTACCCATTTACCAGTGTTCATGTTATGGTTGGATACAGACCATACTTCATAAGCAACAAAAAGGAATTAGTAATGAATTCTGCCGTGGGTTGCACTGCACACAGAGCTCAAATCCCAATCAGTGTTGTGAAAATGGAAAGAACACAATCAATACCTGTGTTCTAGAAAAACTCCATAGCACTTTCCCCATCACGCTAGGCTCCTCCCGGTGTCATCTGGCTCAAACTCTTTGAGTTCCTCCCACTCCTCCTTGGGATCAGACCATCTCCTCGAAGAAAGCCCCATGGGATTCATGACAGTTTTGGACCACAATCTTCCATCATTCCTGACCAATGGCCATGCTGGAAGAAGCTCTTGGGAGCTGTCAACCAACACCTAGAAGGGCACTAGATCGGGGAAGGTAGCTAAATGTATATAATGAAAATTCAAAGTTAGTACACTTTGAATATAACTATTAGAAATTGCACATCTGTATAGCCAAATAATAAGCAGTTAAAAAGAACTGCAATGGACGCTTACTGACTCCCCCACCCCAAATCTCCCTTTGCACTTTGGTGGTCTCTGAGCTCCACCAATTCCCTGGCAGGCTTCTTGCTCCTAATGTATGTTTTGAAATACTTTAGCTGGTCACTCCTCAGATTCTTGGCCCGCCTGCTGTTGTAACATGCCAGAATATATGTTCCCATCGTTGTTTTCCCTCCATCATTTGGATAGCTCTTTACATCTTAAAAATACGACTTTAATGTTGCAGAAATATGACTTTAATATAATGCTCTGCTCCAACAGGCATTTTCATCATCTTATCGTGGATCCATCTTTCTGTTTCCCCGGGATTTCATCTTTCATGACTGTGCTATTATGTTGACTTTCTGACGACATGCCATTGTGTTTGGCCAGCTTTTTGCCTTCTCAGTCAGCCCTTACATCAGGGGTGGGGGAAATTGCTCCCGCCGCAATATTGTTGGATTCTAACTCTCATCAACATCTAACTCAATCAACATGGCCAATCATAGAATCATATAATGGTAGAGTTGGAAGGGGCCCTGAGGATTATCTAAGTCCAACCCCCTGCAAGGCAAGAATATGCAGCTGTCCCGTTTTGGGATCAAACCTGCAACCTTGGTGTTATCAACACCACACTCTAACCAACTGAGCTATCCAGACGGTCAATTGTCAGGGATGATGGGGTTTGTAGTCCATCAGCATGTGGAGGACCATAGGAGTTCCCTCTCCTGCCTTAAAGGATCTTTAAAAACGAGTGATATAAAGTGAGGGTTTATACCAAGATTGTAAAGGTTTTTAACTTGGCCTTGCATCATATCCAAACATTCAACAAGAAGCCCAACAAAGAGCTTATTATGACTGACTATTGTGCTCGTGCCTTGTTTGAGAGCTTCTCACAGGCATATTCTCTTAAATAATAACCTAAATAAAATTGGATCACACCAGCTAATCAATGGGATATTAAAAAATGGGGGATCAACTGCAATAGTCACATTGCATGGAATTCATGTGATCCTCAAAATGTATAGGATGACTAGGTCAGCTCTGTGTGTGAACCTGTAATTTTTTGGGGGGGGAGGGGGGTAGCAGGGAGAATCTTGAACTCAAAACAGGTGGATGAAGCCATTACCGGGGGTTGGGGGGATAAACTTATATATAGTTATTGTAGACAGCTGCAAGAAGAATTTCAGTGATCCAGAGCCATATAGCTTTTGTTATGTGATTACATTCCTTTCCAGCGGACAGCTGTTATGCATCATTTGTGCCCACGCCATACAAGGCAGAATTCAGTGCAGATTGATGTTATCAGTCCCAGTTTGAGGATATAACTTTGGTGATCCCAGAGCTCATGAGGCAACACGTTCTCTCTCGTAAATGAAGCACAGTGTTGCTGTTCCTCATTTTCTTGCCTGCAAACAAATGAGTATGAAAAAGTACTATTGTGAAGACATAAAAGCACCCCACCCCCATATTTAAACTACTGCTGCTGCTAATTCTTTATTTAATTATATCTTGTTCTTCATCTGAGGATTATAGGGGGATTGACAGTATACCCATTTACCTCTCAACCCAAGAAGCATGGGGCTCTGCAGCTCCTGTAGAAACTACAAGTCTCAGGCTGCTTTGGGTGAAACAACTGTCTATGACTTGTCACTCCGTTTTCAGAGGCTGCTCATATGCAGAGGACCATCTTCTTATTGAGGAGGCCTGATGTGATGTCTGGACGTCAAGCACCCAATGTTGTGTGACACCATGGGGAGCCGGGGCGGAGCTGAACGCCCTCTGAACATTGAGAGGGTCCAGCAAAGAATGTGTCAGTCGCTGCTGCTTCCACCATGGCAGCCACAACTGTGGTGCGATCCTTGGAGGCCAGATCTACTTCCATGACACACATATGCAGATACATACACAACTTCCAATCCTAAGCAGATTCATGCAGTCTGATGACTGGAAAGAGCACAATTTGCAGCCTTGCCAAGGCACTAGCCTTTGCCCACCTCAGCACTGTATCTTTCCTTTTTGTCAGCACCAAAATCTGAGCAGTCTTAGGGGGGCAGAAAGTTTTGCTGGGGAGGGAGGCTGAATCAAGTCCCCGAACCGGTGGTTAGCCACTACTATCTGACAACCAGTAGCAACAGCTGGCAAGGTGAACTACTTTCTAGGTCTTCCAGGCTGACCATCTAATTGAGTACTTTCAGACTGGCTCCAAAAGGATTCTGCTGTCCAACCCATTATCTGTTTGGACCATGTTGGTTGAGAAGAGAGTCAAGAAGCAACATGGATTCAGCAGAAGTTTGTGTGCAAGACCTTCCCTAGAGGGCTATGCAGGGAGGAGGACATCATGCTTGTCTACACAACTATTAAAGCATGGGTGGGGGACATGTGGCCCTCTAGATGTTACTGGACTATAACTCCCATCATTCCTGTCCAATGGCTGTGCTAGCTGGATTTGATGGGAGTCATAGGAGCAACTCCCTGGGACCTTGGGTGCCCGAGACCCCACAAAATTCCCCATGAAGGGACCGGGCACCCACCAATTTTGGCACAAAGGCCATGCATGCTACATGGCAGCCACGACCCTGGGCACCCACAGTTGCAGGGCCTAGCTGGCACTCCTGATGGGAGTTGTAATCCATTTAAGCAGGGGTGGTGAGGCATTGTGCAAACAGCAATAGTAAAGAAGCGCTTTCTGAACACACTTGACATCTGCAGTGGCTGAAATGCATTTGAAACCCAAGAAATGGCAGCGTTCCAAAAACTGCTGAGAAAAATATGCAATTCGGTGGTAATCAACCAAGTAAGGATTATAGTGACAATATAATTTTCCTCGTTTCATTAGATGAGTCACTTGGGACCCTTCTTGAATATTTTTGGGTGTGGAGCACAGTTGATTCTTAGAACTTTCCATCCTGTGAACCTCCCCTAATCTTTTAATATGTTCAGTTATTCTTTCCTCCTCGCTTCTTTGCTTCTGTAGTCTTTTTAGCCATTCCATTCAACACAGTGGCATTTGTCTAGACTTTTTCAACTGGAAGGGCAGGTCTTTGCTTGAAAAGGACTGCCCTTTGCAGACTTTGACTGCAATGCAAAAGTCTAGAGGCTAAATCTAGCAAGCTTTGCCGTTAAGTAAGTAGGAGGCCAGATGAGAGCCTAAGAAGAGCCTTGCTGGATTAGGCCAAAGGCCTATCAGTGCCTTGTTTCTGACAGTGGCCAACCAGATGCTGATAGACATTCATGAGCTGGACATGAGGGCAGCAGCCCTTTCCTGTTCATGTACCCCAGCAACTGAAAATAATGTGTTTTCTGTCTTTGATGCTAGAGGTGGTATACAGTCATCATGAGTAGTAGCTAGGGGTGAATGTTCTTTTCAGTTCTGCAAATTTCTAATTTTTCCAGTCTTCAATTCATTTCGGCAGCAACTTGCATTTTTTTAAAAAGCATCTTGCAAATTCACCAACATTTTTTGCATGAATTACTCCTAATAAACATATCTTTGTGTGCAGTGACTCATCTATACATTTTTGCAAAGTGGTTTACTCTAATTCAGCACATTTTTGCATGTTAGTTTTGACAATATATGCATTTTAATGCACACTTTACCCAAGCACATGCATTTTTGCACACCCCTCTTGGCTGGAGGATTGCATTGCAAAATTCAGAGAAAATGTGAATTTCAAAGGACGACTGTGGGTTGGTTTATGTATTGTATTGAAAAGTAGGAATTTGGGATGTTTGGCTTTGAAGGAAAACTGAATTGAATTTCTTCCTCATCTCTACTAATAGCCACTCATGGCTGTTTCCTTCATGGAAATGTCTAAAGCCATCCAAGTTGGTTGGCAGCATCTTGTCGCAGTGAATTCCGTAGAACTACACACTATGTCAAAGTTCTTCCTTTGACCTGTACTTAATCTCCCACCATTCAGCTTCATTGGATTGCTGAGTTATAGCATGATGAGAACGGGCGAAAGCACCTCCTTTTCCCCATGTCATGCATAATTCCAGGCAACTCTATCATGTTACTCCATCACCATTCCACTGTCGCCTTCCCTCATAGGACAGTTCCTCCAGCCCCTGGATCGGTTTATTTTATTTATTTTATTTATCTATATTTATTTTTTGCCAAATCATATTTATTGATTTGCCAAATTTTAACAAATCAACCACAAATCTGTTGTATCATTTTAGCTGCCCTTTTCTGCATCTCTTCCAAGCTGACAATATGCTTTTAAAGATTTGGCAATGAGAATTAGGTCCCTTGGCCCATTCTGGGCACCAGAATTCTTGGAGTCACCACTCCCGTTTTAGCTGTCAAGGCACCAGCTGTCCATCAGGAACACAGACTGTACAAGATTCCCAGTGGTATAATGAACCTCTAGCTTTCTGCAAGTTGCCTTCACTCTTTTGGGAACAGAAGAGCATCTTTTGGTGCCTGGTTTATTAATTCCATGATATTTCCTCCTTTTTCTAGTGTTGTGGGTGGTGTGTGTGTGTGTGTGTGTGTGTGTGTGTGTGTGCTCTTTATGTGTGTGTTTCAAGTGCTCTTTATCTCCCTTGACTCATCATCCTCTTTAGAGGCTAAATTAAAACAGTCCCTCCTGGTCTCTCTCCTCATAAGGCAAGCCCTTGGGACAGAGCATTTTCATTGCCCTCCTCTTGACCTTCCTTTTTTTGGATAAGTCCTTTTTTTAGAGCGTCGTTATCAAGAATGTCGTAGCACAACAAAGACATTTCAGGGCAAGAGGTCCTCCAGCGGCAGCGGTCTGGGATACTGGGAACTTAAAAAGGCACAATGTAGATGATCGAGGATTGGATTTCCCAACTCACCCTGTCTCTTTGCTTTAAAGCAGCTGCATAACTCTCGATTTTGAGCAGAGCAATAGCTCAGGGGGAAGGGGTACTTAACCCTTTCCCCTCGTTCCATTTTCACTGTGAAAATCAGCCCCCTTCCCCCAGTTACTATTAGCTTTGCTCCGGGGGGGGGAGGGGGAATCACAACCCAGTTATAGGTAACTAAGCACACACATGTATAGTGGAGCTGATAGTTTCTTGGGGAGGGGACAGTTTAGGTCAGGAAAATGGGATTGGGGAAAGATGAACACTCTTTTCCCTGGGCACTTCTGAAAGAAAAAAGCTGGGAGATTCAGTCATAGACTTCTTGTGACAGGGAAGGGTCACCCTCTCCTGTTCTGCCTCTCCCATTCCCTTTCCAGAGCTGCAGTTCCCTGAGGATTGGTTTGAGGACACTGAGGTCCAGCGCTGAGGGCCTTCTGGCGGTTCCCTCACTGCGAGAATCCAAGTTACAGGGAACCAGGCAGAGGGCCTTCTCGGTAGTGGCACTCGCCCTGTGGAACGCCCTCCCACCAGATGTCAAAGAGAAAAACAACTACCAGACTTTTAGAAGACATCTGAAGGCAGCCCTGTTTAGGGAAGTTTTTAATGTTTAATGAATTACTGTATTTTAATTTTTTGTTGGAAGCCGCCCAGTGTGGCTGGGGAAGCCCAGCCAGATTGGGAGGGGGAATAAATAAATTATTATTATTATTATTATTATTAGGGAAGGAGGATTGGTCTGAGGAACGCCAGAGTGCCTTCCCGGAAGGCCAGCTTTTGCCTGAGAATGCCGCCTCGGCAGCATCCTTGCGTGGCACTGCCCAGCCGAA